GAAGAATGGAAAATTCCCGATTTAGTCAAATCTGGGCGAAATGGAAAGATCGGACAGCCAAGATGAGGAGTATATAAAGAGGAGGTCCAGGGCAGAAGCAGACACACGAAATTCAGAGCTCTCACCACCAAAACTAGCATTTAGGAATCTTTCCGTTTTTCTGTTAGCGAGCTGCGTCTCAATTAGGGTTTTCTAGTTCCTACGCTTTCGGCAATTCTTTTTGTACCAGTTCTACGCAGATTCGGAATAAGAACCTCTTTGCTCTCTGCTTTCGTTTATTATCATTTAAATTCTAAGTATTTTTGTCATCTTATTTTCGTTGTGCGGTTCTCGCAGATAGCCGGTTCCTCTGGAAACTTAGGGTTTTCCCGAAGTTTCCTTATTTACGATTTATTTGACAGCAAATCTGGGAGAAAAGGACTAAACCGCCTAAGGAGGAGTATAAAAGCAGAAGGAAAAGGACAGAAGAAGGGGACGATTTTCACAACTCTTATAGACTCAGAACTCTTTGCACTTAGAAACTTAGGCTTATTTCTCGACAAGTTCGGTTTCTATGACTGGCACTCAATTAGTAGACGAACTCGCCTAGGCAGTTCGATCTCTTGTCCAGCTCTACCAATTGAACTACGTTCGACTTGATCCTCGAAAAGGGTACGTTGGCAGCCTTTCATAAGGTTCAGTCCGAAATCAATCAAACTCTCTTTTTCTTATTTTTTTCGTCTTTTGTTATTGAGCTGTGACTTAACTAGGTTTAGGGTTTTTATGTTGCTAGAACTAGGAAACTCGCCGACGGCCCCTGCGGCTAAAGCCTTTGTAATCTCTTGTATAGATCGCAACGCCCTTACGCGAATTCGAAATAAGATCAACTTTCTTTATAAATCGTTTTATCATATTTTTCATATTTTCCGCATTTATTTGGTTACTTGTCGTTGGCTCTCGTAGAGATCCGGGTCCTCTGGAAAATTAAGGTTTTCCTAAGTTTCCTTATTTTACGGAAATCGAAGGTGTGAATTTCGGTTCCCACATCTTTGATTGTTGAATTATTCAAAAAAATGGTTTGTCAAATTCCATAATAGTGAAGCCAAATCAAACATGTAATCATCTTGTGATTTTAGAATGTGAGATTCCATTTGTCATACACTGATGCAACTTTAACTCTAACACTATAAAAAAAAACATAGTAATTTATGACGGAAAAATATTCTTCGAAAACTTCTAAAATATTTTTGACGACTTAATGAAGAATATAAATTTTACTATTCATTGGTATTTCATCAGAAATATCCTAATAATAACTGAGGAAATATGTTTTTGTCAGAAATAATTGATGAAATACCAACGATTCCCGAGGAAGATTAAACGATTTAGGATATAGATTTGGGGTTTATGTTTTTGTCGGCAATTTGTCTGAAATTTCTGACAAATTTTAAATTTTCGTAGGAAATTCTTCTGAAATTTTCGATGAATTGTAGATTTTGGTAGGAAATTCGTCAAAAATTTTCGACGTAATTCCGATAAATTTTTGTTTTAGATATAAAATATTTAAAATTAATGTTAAACCGGATAGTTACAAGATCACCATAACATATATGAAGAGATAAATATGATGTGGATTATCAGTATCTCAATTATTTAAAACTATACATTCTCGCGATGGATGCATTAACGGATACATAACTTTCTCATTAAAACTTGTATACTTAAGCAAATACTTTACGGTGATTCATCTTATAATTATGAATTTGTGTGTTTTCAAACGTTTTGAAGATTATAAACCCTTAAAAATCATCAATTTATTATCAATGGCTATTATTGGTCTATTTTGCTATGTGTAGAAACTCAATACATAATCCATCGGAAATTCGTAAAAAAATTTCAGACGAAGTTCCCACAAATTTCTAAAGAAGGTATTTCTTATGAATCTTTGGCGAAAATTGTATATTCATAAGAAGTTAATTTTTTTCCAGAATAAAGAACCGTCTTTTTTGATTTTTTGAAGCATCAAAATAAAAAATTTCTGACAGATTTCCGACAAGTTTAACCAGTCAGAATTTTTTAACATAAAAACATTTGAAAAAAACCTTCTTCTTTATATTAACTCTCTCTCTCTCTCTAAACTCTCTCTATTTCTCATTCGAAGAACAGCCATAAATCCTTCTACAAAACTCCCCTTAAATCATGTTAGTCATTTATTCTCCTCTCAATAATCATATATGTGAATTTGTACTTTGTATATGTGTTAAGTTAGATTTGATGTATTTTAGGAATTGGAAAGTTAGAAATGAGTTATATTGGTTAATTTAGGATTTAATATGTTAAATCTGGGTTAGAATTTTATGTTTTTGTCAACTACATTATTATGTTTTTTGATATTTATAATTGTTTTTGTTGTTTTAAAGCGTCTTTATGATTTATAAAATGTTTAAAACTGCTATAAAAAATTCTATGTTTGTTGTAATTTATAAAAAAAAATTATGTTTTTAAAAATTTCTTAAAAGTATTTTTCACTTTTTATAAAAGTTTTCAACTTATAAAACGTTTTTATGTTTTTTAAGATTTACGAAAAACGATCAACAATTTATAGAAAACATTTTCATTACAGTTTTTTTTTTTTAATTTATATAAGTGTTTCACTTTTTCTTAAAATATTTTCAATTCATCAAAAAAATTAAGTTTTTAAATGTTTATAAAAAAATATTTCACTTCTCTAGAAATGTTTTTAATTTATAGAATGTTGAAATTTGTTTTCTAAAATTTTATATATGTTTTAAAAATAGTTATATTATATATTTTTCTAATTTAACTTCTATTATATTTATATATTGTGAACTAAAACATTAATTAAATGATTTGTAAATTTTAACGTTATTTAAAGCAATTCCTAATTTAAATTAATATCATTTTTTATTTTCTTTATTAATTTAAAAAAACTTCTACGGATAATATTGATCGAAATTTTTCTGTCAGAATTTTATCTGTCGGAAATTCATCAGATAGCCTGGGAAAATTCTGATGATTTCTTTTTCGATGAACTAGAACCGACAATTTTTTTCATCGAAATTGATCAGAAATGATGTATTTCTAGGAATTTCGTCTGTAGTTTTTTTTTAGTGTAAGTTTTTGATTAATTTGACAGTCATAACAACTTCACATTCTCCGCAATTACATAAGAGTTTTATAAACTAAAAATTAAATTTTAAATTGAAATATAATACTTTAGATTGTTGGGATAATTATAATCACATATCAAACCAAATCAAACAGATTGTTAGAGTTGCCATGCACATATTTGTCTTCATATTCTACCGTATATTTAACAGTAAAATTTTCATGAACTCGAGAATTCAAATTTAGAATCTTTAATCATTTTCCCTATACAACACTTCAGATTCTTATATAAGTTATTCAGCACTAGTTAAGTCATTCACGCAATGCACTTGGGGCTTCCTTTAAGTAAATTTTTATTAGTACATTGATTAATCAAATCTTTCACCTACCAAATAATTAATTGTTTTCTTAGAGTAAAAATGATCGACGATCGATATCCATTGGCATGTATATATTGATGAGACTCGGACATAAAACTCCTACACATAACTTGAAATCATCATTAAACATATGAGATATCCACTTCTTTTCCTTGTCTTTAACTAATCTGCACATAAGGTAGTGTCTATCATTCATTTTGTGTTCTCTGGTTATTAAAGTAAATAACTTTAAAATAGTATTTTCAACTCTGTAAAATTCTCACAATAATGAAAAGGAAGACGAACGAGACGAGAAACCCTAACATGGGACAAGCTAAACAAGCCAAGAACGATTCACTATCACATGAGCTGTGTACTACTATTTTGTCTTCAAATCAAAGTATGCGTGAAATGTATATAAGATATACTAACTGTTTCTAAAAATTCTACATTAATTATCAAGTTTTTGTACAAAATTGTTTGGAATGTAGATGAAAATTTCGTTGAGATAGAGAAAGAGAAGACTCTGGCGTTGATAAATGCATGGGAAGAGAACGAGAAGGCCAAAGCTCAAACCAAGTAAGATTTACAAATATCCATAGCTTTCTTTTTAAAGAGATGATGTACCATAGTTATTTAATTACGAGGTTCGAAGTTAGAACCACGAAGATCAACGTTTGGTTGCATTAGCTAGAAAATAGTAATTAACAATTTTCACACATATATTATATGAAAAATAAATCAAAAGTATAATTCTATATATTTGTTACTATAGGCGAGAATACCAATTTTATATTTGATTTTATATAAATATATATATATATATATTTATATTTTTGTGTTATCTACATTTATTCAAATTTTAATGAATTTAAACAGAGCCTACAAAGAACTTTGCTCCATTGAAGCATGGGAGAACAACATGAAGACATCTCTAGAATTAGATCTGAAGAAAATGGAGGTATATTATTATATAGTTAGCATTCGTGATGAATTTAAACAAAATCATAAGAAATTGTGTATTATTATTTAAAATTTCATAAATGTGATAAATAAGTATATTTTAAAATTCAATAGATCAGACAATTATGTTGCCGTTTGACCCCAAAAATGGTTCTGCGAAACAATTATGAATGATTTAAACATGTGATTGTAAAAAATAGACATAACTTATACTGATACAGATTTTATTACGACAGTTTTTGTTATTTTCTACATTTATTCTTTTTCAGGAAAATTTGGAAGTGGAAAAGGCTGAATATTCAAATAGATTCAAGAAAAAAATACCAGAAATTGAAAAAATTGCAGAAGCGAAAAGAGAAAAAATTGAGAAACAAAAAGAGCAAAAATCTATCAACCTGAAAAAAATGAGTGAGAAGCTAAGTGCAACTCCACATGCCTATCCACCCAAAACCAAAACCTGTGGATGTTTCTAGAAAAATGTCTTATGGGTCAATTACTGGCCCATTAAATCCTCTATTTGAATTTGCTTGTGGCATGTTTCAAAAAAAAAAAAAAAAAAAGAAAAAAGAATTTGCTTGTGGCTAAAGGGGGAATGTGTGTATATATATGATATATCCAACGAATAATGAAAAAATTATGTACAATGTTTTCAAGCATTGATGTATCATTCAAGTGTATATGATATGGTTGTACCTATGGTAATTTCAATTGAATCTATGACTCATGCAGTCATGCCCAATATCTCTGATAAGATCAAATATTTTTCATGGCATTGTATATTAGTTACGTGAAAATAGATCTAAAGAGATTGTTTTAACGAAGGGATAGTCTTTGATTTTAAAGAATTTCCGAAGTATAAACCTAGTGTATAGTAAACAAAATACTAAATTCGAAGCAGGGTCGGTTCTGAAAATTATAGAATCCAAAAACGATCCTTTTAACAATTTTACGTACATTTTTTTTAATGGATCTGAGAACTTTTTTTTTTGAGTTTATGTATATGAAATTTTGAGGGTTCAAGGCGAAGGTTTGTTTCAGGGTCGGCCAATTCGAAGTCTCTATTAATCTAGATCCTTTTTCCGGACTACGCCCGGGATATTTTGTATGAGAAAAAAATTTGTTATGTCATTATGTATTTTTTAGAAAAAGTGTTGATTAAAAATGTTGGAAACTCGAGATGCTAATATATATTAGCAGGTGCTTTATACGTAATATCTTTTAATAATTTCGAAAAATATTCAGCCAAAGAACTTGTACTGAATAAAGTAGATAGTAAGTAATGTTTGATGCATAATGAAATAGAAGCGTTTGTGAAATAATGTTTAGAAGTAGATGATAGTTTTCATAATCTTTTAGAACAAATTTATAAAGTCTTAAACAACGGAAAAATATTAATGATGGGGAAGCAGGTGGTACTCTCAAGGTAGAGGATGTAGATTGGGTGGAATTTTTTTGAACTGGGGCCTGAAAATTAATTGAAATAAGTTAGTGAGTAGTTATTATTAATAGAAATATGTTTATTTATTTCATAATATATGTATAGGTACCTGGAGGTGAGAAAATATCCATCATCACGATATCATTTTTGCTTCCAATTTTTTGTGTTATCAGCTAGAGCACTGTGGAGACAATTGTGATTTTCAGCTAAATAACCTTTAATTTTTTTTTTAGTTTTTCCTCTAAGTATAAATTTTTACTTACTTTCATCGGAAGGAAGCCGGTTGAAGATCTCTTTGTAGACTATGTTTTTTACTTTTTGAGGGTGCGAATCATGTCCCTTAATGATTTTTAGTCATGCTTTACTTGTCACGCGTGAGAGAGCCACATATAGTTGACCATAGGCGAAGACCGGATTAGGTAGATATAAGATAACTTCTTTCAAACTTTGACCCTAACTTTTGTTGATTGTCATTGCGGAACCCAATCTGATGGAGAACTGTCGCCGACGCAAAGTGAACGGTAGTTTTGTTTCATCATGCAATAAAACTATCCGAGTATGGTTACATACCATAGTAATCGCATTTCTCGCAACCACCTATACGATAAAACTTGAGACTCAGCTTGTCTTATGCATAAGTAATGATATCAATAAGGTAATGCAAACCATTAAACTTACAGTCATAGAACTTTGGCTTGAATGTTAGCGGATCATTAATCATATGAGTTGTGAATAAATATAACTTTATTACTATTAAATGATCAATTTAAAACTCAGTTGGATATGTCTGAGGCTAAGAACACACATTTTGGTTTGTTACGCGACCCAGGTGGGCGGCCTCGTTTTCTCTTATGCGTGTGTCCGCCTGAAATTTAGGAATGAGAAAATGTTCAAATTGTTCTTTTTCCAATCTATGGAAAAAGTGTAATAGTAAACTTCATGTTTTTTCGTACATATATCTTTTCTACTATTACATTCTGAGAAACTATTTTAACATCTTCGTTATTGAAAATGTAGATGTTTATTATTTTAATGTTTATGTGTATATTATAAATTTGTTCTTATTTTACTTTGTTAACAACTAAATATGTATTCAGTTTGAAGTTATTTTTAAAACAAACAAATTTATAATGCTTATATATACATAATTCATACGTAATTAAACTATTACAATAAAGTATATATAACATAATTAAATTTCCACTATTTTATAAAGTACAAATTAAATTAATCCCATATGCATTCTAACATATATTTAAACATTTTAGAACTTATTTATATTTACTTTGGGAAAATTTTGAAATTAAATGCATATAATAATAACTATGTTTTGGATTTAACATAATAGCTAAATTATCATAGTAACATATATTTCAGTTTATTTTTGTTTGAAATTAAAAATTTATAATCATTACTTGCATATGTTACAAAAAAAAATCATTACTTGCATATTAACAAATTTAGGGACTATACAATAGACCACATAGATCTGAAGCACAGCTACGCACATATTTTATATTTTAATAGTTTATTTATTTAAAACTGTTTTGTACTACTATGTTCATTGACTTGTCTGAGTTTATATTTATATAATAAGCTCTATCTAATTTTTTATTAATAAAATACATGAAAATACATCAATTAAATATTGTTAAGTTTTTTTTTAACTCTTAAAATTGTTTTATTATCCAATCTCTTATTTAAATTACTTTTTAAAGAATTTTAATACACTTAATTTTAAAACTGTAGACATTCTAATATCCAAATTAGTTATAAGTTGGAATGAAAATTATAGAAATCGTCAAAATGGATCACAAATAAAATCTTAAATTTTCAGTTTTTATTTTTAGGATTAAAGTATGTAAACTGAGGATAATATTTAAAATTACAAGATTAGTTGTACGTTAATTTAAATTTGAAGTATAATGAAGTACAAAAGTCTTTCTGTTTGTTTTTTTTTGGTAAATTAATATGTACGTTAAGTATTAAAATATCTAAGTCTTAACATTATTATTTTACTGAGATTCTACTATATATATATATTTTTTTATAAACAAATATATGAACATATTTACGATTTTTTTTTCATGATTTCTTTGTTAGTAATTATAAGTTCTGAAAACTTTGGTAGTTCTATTGTTTGGTCATGGAGTAATGATGATGATCGTTTTGGATTGTATATAGAAAACCATTTACTTTATCTTCTTTTCATTTTGTAACTTAACATTGCCCGAAAACAAATCGGGTTTCGGTAGATTAAACCGAAATCGAAATCGGGTTTCAGTAGATTAAACCGAAATCGAAATCGGGTCTCGCATACCTAAACCAAATATGATGTGGCTGTTTAAAGCTCTATTATTGGACAAACTATAAACATGTCTTTGGGTGCAATTTTTTTCCATTTTTAAGATGGTTGGTGAAAAGCTCTTGTCTTTGGTCCAATTGGAGTTCGGCATGCTACCGGTTGAATAAGTCGGTTTTCAGGTTTAATTTGTCAAAAAAAAGGAAAAAAGGAACAAAACCCCCCGAGACCAGATTCGTCTTCTCTGCAAAATCGAGACGCTGTCGGAATCGCATCTTCTTCTTCGTATTCAATCCACCATCAGTAGGTATGTTTGCAATTTTCTTACTCTCTACTAACGAAGTTAGTTGATGAAATTCAGTTTTCAACAGTTATGAGTATGTGTTTCGATCTTCTCCAGTTCGAGCTTCTGGGATATTATTAAGTTCATGTTTTCTCTAAAATTCTGTGATTTCATTGGGGTTTCAGCTCTAGCTTTGAAACCTTGCGATTGCCAACTAAGAAACTTGAAAACCCTAAATCCTAGTAGAAAGTTTGTGTGTGTTTCTTTTTTGTTCCTGAAAAGTCACCACTGAACAAAAAATTGTTATTCCTTAAGACCGAAAGATGAATAATTTTGTGTTCTGTCTAAAAGTTTAGGTTGTTGTTTAACTTTGTTTTTTATTACCCAGAGTTGTTTGTTTGATCATTCTTGTGGTCTGAACATAATATAAGCCCTTCTTATAGTCGAAAATCAAGAAAGATGGTGGTGGTGTCGCCAAAAATAGCTCCGTCAATGCTGTCTTCGGACTTTGCAAATCTAGCTGCAGAGGCTAAGCGGATGGTTGATTTGGGCGCTGA